ATGCACACACACAGCCTGTATTCAGAAACTGAGCCTTAAAATGAGCTGTGAGGAACAGCAGTCACCAGTCTCAGCCACGCCCCAAGCCCAGCCCCACCTGGACCCACCATCCAACCTTGCAGGATTTGGAGTGTTTACCTGAACCTGCTATATTTTTATTCAATCAATTTGAAATCAGTCAGCCAATCAGAACAGAGGCTAAATGACCTGTTGTTGCAAGAGCACCAGAGAGAAGCCTGAGAGAGGAGCTGTAAAACTACATTGTGATGGTTTTTGGTAGCCTACTTAAAACCACAACTATATCTCCTTATGGATATCAACACTTCAAATACGTAAAATATGGGACCTTTAAACAGACTGCCAGATCCATAGTACAAAGTTCATGTAATGTCCTATTGAGCAGGTCGCTGTCTGGGGAATTCACAAGGTACCATGAAGAAGAAGAAGAAGAAGAAAGGTTATTTACACAAAGACACCAATGAAAATGTTTGACTGGAGAAGACGACGAGATTCGAAATTGTGTCAGTAAGGGCCGACACCAAAATCGTCAGACAACCGTGAACAAAACACTGCGACTTCTGCAGTGCACGCTCTACGCAGAGGCCTCCCCTCACCTAAACCAAATGGAGTGTTTTCAGTAGCTGAGACACAGACAATCTCCTGTTGTGTATGAAAGGGAGTTCATATGAGAAAACAACTTCAGTCACTGTTAGTGAAACTGTAGCAGAGTGAGCCAAAGCGGGCACAGCAGGGTTCACAAAGAGGCAGCCTTGTCATCAGAGGTGGGAACACATGATACAGCCACCCGATATTGACACTGCTGGCAGTGGATACATTATGCAGTGTAGCTTGACAATGCCTTACACATTTTCAAAGACATGGCTTCTCTATGTTACTGAACTCATCTTCATCTAGATTTTACAATTTAAGTTTTTTGAAGTGGTGTTTAGCCATGCAGAGAACACACAGTTTTAGAGAGTAGTAAATGCAGCCATTCAGGCGGCAGGTGTCGCAGATGGTTCCTAGGCACAGCATGCATTGAGAAAATTATATTGTTGGACAACTGCACTGGGGATGCCTGATTTTTTTTCTTTTTAGGAGAAAAGAATAGTATAGAGAGGCCAGGTATTTCTTATGCAAGTGTATGATTAAAGTTAATAAAAAACAGCTTGGGACCTACTTTCAACTTAGCAAAGAGACCTCAAACTGACGTTTGAATTTAAATAGAAATCAGCGTTCAGCTTGTCAGAGAGGGGACACGAGTTCATTCTTTCTTTTAGCTTTGTTCCAACATAACAAATTCAACCCAAGAAACTCTCTTTGGTTTAATCACTGCTGTGCAATCTTGATACAGCTATGTGAGGCCCTGATTAACCCTGGTCTACAGGATTACAGTTTCTCACAAAACAAGTCTTTCAAATGGCTATCCTCATGATGAAAATCAAACAGGATGCTGCGAAAGCAACATCTACTGTACAACATCTACAGAAGGGGATTTGTTTTCTTTTCATAGTCAACTCTTTATTAAGCTCCACAGTTCGGAGCTAATTTCCGTTTAGAATCTCCCAACAAAGCCAATGGATATTTAGAGAACTAAAACATTGATTTTAACTGGAGACACATGCAAATGCCACTTAATTCTGCATTAATGCCTGAATATTTTCATTACCCTGAGAGCAATACTACTGTACCAGACACTCTAGAGGTGTACTGAACGATTCCAAATAACATTCTGCCGACACACAGTCAAGTCACGCAACCCCAAAAAGGATAAACTCCGAAACAGACAGCCCCGCTCCAATGTGGAGCGCTCTGGTTTATTTTGCAGCAGAGAATCTCAGCACACCGAGGTATGAGCTAAAGCTCGTCTTTGTCTGTCACTTCAGCCTGTGATTGGTACAGTAGGTAAGTCACTGTTTAAACTTCCTGTGCTGTTGAATCTGAAAAGTTTCAGCTTTGAGAATGATAAGTACAAAGAAAACAGGGATGGTGTGACACAATTAAGACTTTCCAGATATTCTACAGACATCTCGCTCTCTTTGGTTCTCATGAAAAAAAGGATGATACCGTTATTTTCTAATGAATATTGCTGGAGATAGCCAGGTCGCTGTACTGGACAACAAGGACTGCTCAGATTTTTCACTTTGCCAAGATGCTTAAAAATTTAAATTCAAATTAAAAATTCAAATGTTAACCCCTTTTCACAACACGTCAAATCAGTTTATGGCCGTCTGTAACATACCAGATACAAACAGCTCTGGATCTAACATGGAGGAGAAGCTAAGAGTCTTGTACCACAACCTATGCGAAGAAATGGTGTTGCATGGCATGTCAACAATCACACAGGTTTGGTTTTCTCCTCTGTTGTCGTCAATAAAAGATACATAAATCCACCTCATGTAATATTTCATGAGCTAATGTCGCACAACAGCTAGCCAAAGCGGTCAGCTGCCACGTTTCCTCATTGCAATCTTTTGTTTTTTTCTTCAGCATGGATTTAAAATTTGATTTATCTACAACAGAACAGGTACATTTAACATGATTTATTGGCAATGAACTCATTCTGTATCCAGCCATGCAGCTTCAAACCGCTCACCATGTGTTGTTGGCTTCACGCTCACTCGCTCACTGGCCATTTCGTGCGCTGATGAAGGCCATGCAGAGACAGGAGTGCTGCTGCTGCTGCTGCTGCTGCCTGCAATATGTGACCACGATGCCTGCCAGCTTTTCCAATGAGTATATTGCATTCCTCATTATTTAATTCATCACCTTGTTGTTGGACTGCTGTGCAACCTCTAACAACATTTAGTTCTTGCCAAGAAAGTTTATGCCCATTTGTTTTTCCACAGAGGAGATTTGATTTATTTGACAACAGGAAAAGGAATTCTTTGAGGATGGAAAACATGGCAGTTAAAACCTACTCCTGAAGGTTTAGACTGGTGCTCGGCCCGAGTCAACTCTGTGGCTGCTTTTGAAATAATAATTTGTGGCATCAAATTCCCTGATAAGGTCCAGTAGAACAGTAACGGCCCGCCTGCCGTCAAAACATTCCAACAGTGATGAAAGTATGAATGGAAAAGTTTTTACACCAATCAATATGTCTGCCAATTTGCCAATGGCTGATTGAACAGAAAATTGTAAGAGCCTTAAGTTAGGCATGCACGTCTCCAGACCTTGAATGGAAAGTGGCAAATGCACTACAAAAGGCATGAATTTGAGAAACCAGCCTACGTAAGCCTTATCAGTATTCATGGACAGTTTTGCAAAACACAATTAAGCTGAGGTTTTTATTTTGATCGTCAGACATTTTTCTTATAGACGCCGGGTCGGAATTCTGTGTGGCAAAAAGAAAATTGAATATCCAATGGAGTGAATAAAAAAATGGTAATCCCAGCTAGAAATGCTCAACCATATAAAACATTAAAGTGGAGATAATATAAGTTAACTCCATACTTGATTGAATTCCTGCTGCTGCTGCATTATGTCCTCCTTACATGTAATTAACTATAATTAATGGAAAGACTTCAAAGATACAGTTTCCTAAATATATCTCTCCTCTTGTCTCATACTTTGCTCCACAATTTAACATGCAATACCATGACTTACAGAAATCACACGTTTTCAGTTTTAGAGATAGATTCTTTTTCAAGACAGCTAAGGCAAAAACTGTGTTGTCAGCAGCTCTGTGAAAATAGTCAAATCCAGGGTAACTATGGCAGAGTTGCATGTGCGCTTTATCATGTATTGATTATCATAAAGTAATGGCAGTTTGCAAGAATCTCAGTGAGAGGCAATCACATCCTTGTACATCCTGGATATCACTTAGTATTCCCCGCAGGGGATCTCCGCTCTCTTATCCACATGATGGAAATCTATTCTGACCCTAACATTTCTGCAGTGAGTGAAATGGTAATGTCAGGAGTGTATTTAGCAAATCACCCTACTACAGCCTCCAAATAATGACAGCCATAATAAGTGTAGCTGCCAGTTAGTGTGTGCAGACCTGAGCACGACAGAAGCCTCTTGGGTTTTCGCAGCAGCGCCCTGTCCTCTCTGACTATTAAATCATGAGCGTTTTACCACCTTCACTCAGCAAGATAAACACTGCTTAGTCAATCTTGTCCAAACTGGGGGGCGCACAATTTAATCCAAACCCCTTATCTTAATTACATTCACGTCCAAGTTGGTGTGCATAAAAACACACACGTGGCTCAATGTTCCATCGTCGACCTGCTAATAATTTAAAAATTCTGTTGTCATTACGATTATTAAATAAAATCTCCTGACTGGAGTCACATCGATAGTGGAAAAGCCTAGGAAGCATTAGTCTAAGCACCGCTGGGATGCGCGCCGGGCTTTCCCCGTGGCTTCAGACAGTGTCAATAATTACTATAGTGTTTCTCTTCGCTTTTACTCTCCTCTGAACGTGCTTAGCTGCCCGTGTACTTGGTGTAGGTCAGTGAAATTATATCCGCTTCAAAAGTAGGCTATAGCAAATGGAGGTCGATTTGAACTGTCCATTTACAGTAAGCCTATATATATATATATATTATACAATAACCTCAGAATACATGTAAGAGCATAAAATATATGTGGCAGTTGTTGTATTAAAATGATACAAGATAACAAAAAACAGTGACCTCAATGGGAGGTTGTACTGTGTCGCGAGCAGCATTTTCATGCTGGCTCGGCTTTAACGACCAGCTCACAGGAAAAGATGGACAACCGTAAAATGACAAAACAAACAAAATTCTCATCCGTGATAATAACACAGCGCCTGAGCAAGAGAGGACGTCAGTTTGAAGACGCGAAACACTTCAAAAAAGTATGTTTTAACCTTGAGAACCCCCACATACAGGGTTGTTGTCACTTTAAAAATGTTAGGCTGAAGAGTTTTTATTTTGGTTTTTTTTTTGTAATTCAGCAGAGTGCAGATCACGCGCGCGCACCGCTCCGTCACCACGGACGCACGCACACACTTTTCCCTGAATTTCACTCACCTGCGTTCCTGAGCTTCTTGTTCCGATAAACGGAGAAGATGACCAAGAGGTTGCCCAGGATGTCAACAACGATGGTGAAGATGAGGAAGCAGCCCAAAGTTGTGGTAACCCACGGCGGGCGGTTCAGGACGGTGTCACTGGGGTTTGGCGAGGAGCTGTTCAGGTGAGACCCATTTATAACCATTGTATACACTCACTGAACTTTCTCAACTGAGCCAAATTCAACGTGCCGTCCTAAAGCCTGGATTTCACAGACGCCGGTGATGGGATACTAAAGCCTCCCGCGGCTTTCATCTTCATCCTCTCCACGCGCACTTCTCCCTCTTCTTCTTGTACTTCTTCTCTCCCGCGTGGACTTCGCCCAGCTGCCGTGGATCAGCTCTGGTAGTCTCCTCTCTCTGGTCGCTTCGGTGTCACTTCTGCGCCCGTGTGCCATTCACTTTGTCGGTACGCATGTGTGACATGAAGCCGCAACTTCAAACCTTCCCAGCATGTGATCAAACAGTCCGGAGAGGAGCGGGTTTTATTTCCAGGGAGAAATACTGTCGCTTGGTGGCCGAGAGGAGGAAGAGCAGTTCTACTGCTCGGAAAAGCTTCCTACTTCTTTTCATTTACCAGAAGCGTGTTCATTCATGGCTTGACGGTCTCCCGCTTTGCTTTATTTCACCCCATTCATTATTATTTTTGAAGAATCATTCATGTTTTTTTTATCTGTTTCAGGAAAACGCCCCAATACTCAGTAACACATTAGGAAACTGTCTTATTGTCGCCTATAGGCTAAAACAAACTGGTGATTGAAGGTCATTCTGTCTTTAAATTATCTATAATCCACAACTTATGCTTTGTCAACTTTATTTTGAGGCGTAGAAATGCGTTTTACATACGATTCAACACTGCATTTAGTCTGTATAGCATAAGGTGATATTATTGGCCACAGTGAAACCACTGACCCTCCCACTGTGCAGACTTAAAATATACAGTAATACTAGTAAGATTTTTGTGTGAGCATCCATGACAATGATTGTTGGAGTGGCCATTATGCTATTGTTTGTATTGTAAGTTAATGATGTTCACAATAAATGGGTCAAATCCACCCCAACCCCCCAACCCTCCTCTACACACATACAGCTTCTGCAGCCTATTCCCAAGCTGTCTCATTACATGACAGATTGTCATAATAAAAAGGTAAAACCTCATTTTATGGTTTTATTTTGATCTGCAGATTTGAGGATACTGAAAAATAATTATGCTTTGCAAAGATGAAGCCAGTCAGTCAGTAGTCATGACCCCAGCCCCCACCCCTTTAACACAGGATTTTTCATTATGAAATACAATAGAGCTGAAACCGTTTATAGATCAGCAGAATAATAAATCATTATAATCATTAATAGTTTAAGTCATTTATCACAAAAGACAGCTGTTTTCAGCCTCTTAAATATGGAGATTTCCCCACTTTTTTATTTTATATCACTGAAATGAAATATCTTTCCCATATTTTTGACATTTTAAAGACTAACCAATGAAACAATGAAGAAAATGATCCCAAATTAACTGATAATGAAAATTATTGTTCGGTGTGGCCTTAACATACCGTAATTTTTGACTGTATGAAATGAAGCAGTGCGCCAAAGAGTGATTGTTTAAGTATGTTTCAGAGGACTGAAAAGAAAGCATCACACATAAATTCAGACAGAAAAGCAAACATTAGAGAAATGTCTGAAAAAAGTGTAGCAGGCAGTTGTTTTTCTACTTTCCTATCCTGTTATTCATCTTATTTTGTATCATTTGCCTGAAAATCATATCTTGTGACCTCTTGGAGCTCACCCCTTAATGACCTGTACTGATTGTACTGACAGACCCACGAGTCACTGACAGACACTGACAAGTTATCGATAACTTATCCTTTAAGTAAATCTACAATAATCATTACACTTTACCATCAATATAATAAATAGAATTGTCAATATGTTTTGCTTTTGTCAGTGCCAAATCAATTATTTACCCACTGTGTAGTCATGACAATGAACAAGCAACATGTGAAGTCTATTTATTCAGCACCCTCATTTCAATAAGGTTTGTTATGTTGTCTGTATCCTCAGCTCTCACTGAAAAGAAAAAAAACACTCGGCCTTGTTACATTATTCACCAAGACTCCCACAGCTGCTAATGTTAAGCTGTTGAGAGCCAAACACGTACTTTCTGAAAAGCGCCGACATATTTGTCTGTATGAAACCACACCAACACACGAATTAATTAATTAAAAAAAAAGAAGAAAAAAAAAAAAAAGAAAAAAAGTTTAAAACTGACCATTGGTAATAGTGAGTCATTCTAGTATCACAACATCTGCAGCTAATTTTTTTCCACACACCATGAGGATACTTCTCTATGTAGTTGTCACCAGTGCAACTTTGGAATAAAAAAAAAATAAATAACAAAAAAATATATACAGTATATGAGGAAAATGTTTCTCCTGAACTCAATTCTTTCTTTTGAAGTCACCAAGTTCTTTTTATCAACATGTGTACATGTTTCACTGATTTCAAGGGTAACTGCTTTTATTCTGAAGAGACTCATCTTTGTCCCTTTCTGTTTCTCAAAACATTGTTACTCAACAATGTCCCAAAATTATTAGTCATAATAATCCTGTGCTGCCCTTTGAACTCTTCCTTTATCCTTTAGCCATTTCATTGCTTCTTGCCATATCATTTTAAAGTACAAACAGCTCATTATTATAATAAATATTATAATATTTGTGAGTTTCATTCAAGCAAAATATGATCATTATCTCTCCTCATTCAGTCCTCTATATTACATTTCAGGTCAGTCTGTTCTTCATACTGAACTACTCTGCTATCAGACATGGATCAGCAAACACAGAAATCTGTATTGCATTCGAGAAACACATTAGAGGAACAAAAAAGCCGGCTGTATATCAGAATAAATTGGAGGGAGGGAAAAGAAGCAGCAGTGTCTGATTCTGAATAATTATAGCAGTTAGGGAGAAAGTATAGCAAACACACTGTAAGAAAAAGTAAATGAGGACTTGGAGGGAGAGAAGGGGAGGAAAGGAAAGTGTGAATCTTTGTGCGTCATTTGCTGATGTTCACTCATTTTCATTTTGTTTGATGATAAAAGAAGCCATGGCAGCGACAGCAGAACAAGTGGAGCATATTTCAGAGCTGCAAATACTTATAAATTGCCTGTTATTCATCAGATACATTTTGTGAGGAAAGTATTAATATGATTATTTCATGGCTTGCATAATTTACAATTAAATGTTAGTTGTACTCATTGCAACTCACAGAGTCTTGACCCACGCTACAGATCAACAGACAGATCCCTGTTATTTCAAATCAACACGTTACAATGTTGTTAAACAAAAGATACTGCAATTTCAGCTTTACAATTATTTAATTGTCTATATCTATAAACTATATTTCTATAGCTATTTTTTCAAAAGGGGATAAAACCTTTTCTGGACATATTTTGTGGAAACAGCACTTAGGCTTCAGGCTTCTAAGTTGAGGTTTATCATGGCAGCAGCTGACTGATATTTGAGGCCCAGCATTGCTAGGTGATCAAACTGCTTCATGTACTGCTCACTGGAGCACATCATATCCCTGTAGCCCACTAACAATGAAATGCTGATATGATATAAAGTTGGTTATGTACCGTTAGCAATTTACAACATATGTCCCGTCACATCCAACAAAGTGCAGAACTGTTGACCCAGTTGATGGTTGACATTAGCACTGATTTTTAATAGACGTTACTTTTAATTCATGTTATTTCAACACCTGCCGAGTCAGTGACTCCACAAGTTAAGTGGTGCGCTATGCTAGTGACAGGAGCAAGTTAAAGCCCTGTAGCTAACAAACAAAGATACACAATGGTTTTTCCCCCTCCTTTTTCAAGAGGTTCACATAGCATTGATCACAAACTTCATCATGCCATTTAACATATCTAGGCCTTTACATAATGTGAATTTTGTGTTCCATTAAGACAGTAAAAGCTAGCAAGATAATATAACTTCCTCAAAAAATGTTTCTTAACCTAGCCCACAAATGTTAGCACAATTTCCAATGGCGGCTGATGCTAAAAAAAGGCGCAGTTTTTATTCTTTTTAAATTTTCATTAGTTTTTCTTATTGAGTCCTTCAGTCTGATTTTTTAATTTCAGTCTAGTTTTATGAGTGCATAAGTAGTTTTACTTGTATTAGTTTGTGTTAAGAGATTTTCACATTACGAGGAAAGCCTTGATTTAAAGAAGCCAAAAAAGGTAGGGTAGGATGAAAGAATGCATGACATTAAATATGATCTACAAAACCATTGTTTATTATAAGATCACATATTATGCAGTTTTCTACACTTTCAAACCAATCAAAAAAAAAAGAGACCCTAATGTTTCCCAAGCACTGGTCAGAAGGACTGCAAACAGCAGCATACAGAATGTATGGAGTCCTATTATACAGAACATCAAGCAGTTAACAGTGTGAAAGTGATTATTAAGTGTAAATCCACAAATTAAAGTAACAAAGACTGAAGTGATGATAACATAGTCCAAGTGAATTCTTTCTTAAGTACTGCTTACTGATCAGAACGAGAACATGGAAGCTGCCAATATTTAGGTTTAAAAACAGTGTTTCAGCACCAGCTAACGTTAAGTCAAAGATCCTCTATACAGAAGATACCGCATTACAGGCAGCACCAATGGTATGAAATGGGACACAGTTCTGGTCTCCTAAGTGGCCGTTGTCCCTCAACCCCTCCCTCAAGCCAAAGCAACTGGCATGAAATGTGACAGTAGCTAATATTAAAATCTATCCCTGTCTAAACTTACCTCTCTGCATCCTTTGGGAAAGAAAAGACAGATGTTTTTCTTGTTATTTCAGCCTATTGCTGCACAAAGCTCAGGCATCTTAAACACTAATTTATGGATTACTTGTCTCTGCCAAAAGAATACAACAACAGACGATGCAAAGATACAGTACAAATTTGCACCTTTTTTTGTCGCTGTTTTTTTTACCTACTAAACGACATCTGATCAACCCAGTACAAAGTCATGTCAATTTAATAGGCTAACAATCTATTTTAGCAATTGTTAAGCAATGAAACAAGTTTTATTGAAGTTTTAAAGTTTAATCCATAGTTTAACGTATAAATAAGTCAATCCAAGAATAACTGCTCCATCTAAACATCCCTTTATCGGTT